GGAGGAGAAGGAGAGAGGAGGAGGAGAAGAGGAGAAGGAGGAGGAGGGAGAAGGAGGAGGAGGAAGGAGGAGGAGAGAGGAGGAGGAGGAGAAGGAGGAGGAGAAAGAAAAGGAGGAGGAGGAGAAGGAGGAGAAGAAAGAAAAGGAGGAGGAGGAGGAGGAGGAGGAGAAGAGGAGGAGGAGGAGAAGGAGGAGAAAAGGAGGAGAAAGAGAAGGAGGAGGAGGAAGGAGGAGGAAGGAGGAGGAGGAGGAGAAGAGGAGGAGAAGAGGAGGAGGAGGAGGAGAGAGGAGGAGGAGGAGAAGAGGAGGAGGGAAAGGAGGAGGGAAAGGAGAAGGAGGAGGGAAAGGAGGAGAAGACGAGGAGAAAGAGAAGGAGGAGGAGGAGGAGAAGCAGGAGAAGAGGAGGAGGAGGAGGAAGCGGAGGAGGAAGAGGAGGAGGAAGAGGAGGAGGAAGAGGAGGAGGAAGAGGAGGAGGAAGAGGAGGAGGAAGAGGAGAGCTGTGGGAATGTTGGTGCTCTCTGAGCTTGGTGGATTTTTTGCAGACATTTCAGGGCCCAACTAGGTAACATCATCAGTGTCAGGAGGAAGAGGAGGAGGAGGAGGAGGACTGTCGCATTTTTGATCCTCTCTGAGTTTGGTTGTTTTCTTGTAGACATTTCATTACCAAACTAGGCAACATCATCAGTGCTAGAAGGGAGAGGGGTTTATGAAAGGGAGGAGGAGGAGGAGGAGGAGGAGGAGGAGGAGGAGAACTGTGAAGTCCTTGGTGCTCTCTGAGCTTGGTGGTTTTCCTGCAGGCATTTCATGACCCAACTAGGGAACACCATCAGTGCCACAAGGGAGAGGAAAGCAAACTTCAATTCTTTCTAGCACGGATGATGTTCCTTTGATGGGTCATGAAACGTCTCCAAGAAACCAACGCAGCTCAGAGAGGCACCAGGGACCCCCGCAGAGAAATGCATCACGCCATGCATAAAATCCTTGGCTTCAAATTCCCTTAATGCTCTTGTTTCCTGCAACGCACTGAGCCCCCCAATGTATGAACCAAATCGTGATTTAATGGGATGGGAAGATTCAGCCAGCAGGCTATATAAATCGAGGGCTGGGCCTCGCACCGCTCTCTCTTTGGCTGAAGGTAGCCCAGGGTCAGGTTTACCAAAATGTAACCGGCTTCTTGAGATCGGGCGAAAGTCAGGGCTTCCTGCTTCAGTCTCATCATCTGTTCGAAACGCGGCTCCGTCCAATGTTTGGGTCCCAGTTCGTTGGGATAAGATCTAAAAAAAAAAAAAGGTGGGGGAGTGGGGGGCAAAAGAGTCAGAAGGGACAAGCCATCCCACGCAAACTTCGATCAGGTTTCTCTAAAGCGTAAAATTCCACATTTTTGCCAAGGAGGTAAAGAAACTGCTAAAAAGATGAAGAGAATGATTAATTTTATATAGTGAAAGTTTTTCTAGTATGGGAAAGCTAATGCCACGATTACTATGTGATTGTTATTAATGATATGTATAATATGATTACCATTATGCTTATTGTCTTTTGGTTGTTCATATAGATATTGAGTTTTTTACGTTTATTAAAGAAAAACGTATCAATAATAAATATATCTTTATCTATATATACACCATGTTTCCCCGAAAGTAAGACCCTGTCTTATATTTTTTTGAACTGAAATAAGTGCTTGGCCTTATTGCCATGCCTCAAAAGCCCAATTGGGCTTATTATCAGGGGAGGTCTACAGGATATCTATCTATCTATCTATCTATCTATCTATCTATCTATCTATCTATCTCTTCTCTGCACTCTTTCTAGGTCTCAAGATTAACATTTAAATAAAAGATAAGGAAGAAACAGATTATTTTTTTAACACGGGACTTTGTTTTACCAGTGGCTAACTACCAGAAACAGAGGTTAGAAGAAACTGCAAAAGATGAAGATTGATTAATTTTATATAGTGAAAGTTTTTCTAGTATGGGAAAGCTAATGCCACGATTACTATGTGATTATTATTAATGATATGTATAATATGATTACCATTATCTTATTGACTTTTGGTTGTTCAAAACTAATTGTACTTGGACAACACGCTGTTCATATAAATATTGAGTTTTTTACGTTTATTAAAGAAAAACGTATCAATAATAAATATATCTTTATCTATATATACACCATGTTTCCCTGAAAGTAAGACCCTGTCTTATATTTTTTTGAACTGAAATAAGTGCTTGGCTTATTGCCATGCGCTATCTATCTATCTATCTATCTATCTATCTATCTATCTATCTATCTATCTATCTATCATCTATCTATCATCTATCTATCTATCTATCTATCTATCTATCTATCTATCATCTATCTATCTATCTATCTATCATCTATCTATCTATCTATCTATCTATCTATCTATCTATCTGTTATCTATATCTATCTATCTTTCTATCTATATATCTATCTGCTATCTCTCTCTCTCTCTGCTATCTATCTATCTATCTATCTATCTATCTATCTATCTATCTATCAGCTATCGGTTATCTATATCTATTCATTCTATCTATCAGTTATCTATCTATCTATCTACTGCATTTCCCCCAAAATAAGACCCTGTCTTATTTTGGGGGAAACAGGATATATATATATATGGAAAATTTAGAAAGAGGCACTCAGTTCAAGGAAGGATAGACTGCCTCTGTCCAGAGAGGCTCCGTTTCAAGGCCTCAGACAAACGTACCTGGGCTCATCCACAGATCTCCACACGATGGACCGGTAATGTTTTTCCACCGCGCCGAGCCATTCCTGCAGCATTTGCGTGGTGTTGTCTACGTTGTGATCCGTGGCGCACCTGGGAAGGGAGAAGGAGGAGGGCAAGAGAGATTCCGGTTGATCCCCAAAAGCTGTGGGTCCAAAGCTCTGTGTTCAAATCCATCCGTTTGCGATTTAAAAATAAAAAAAATCGGGCAGTCTCGGGTCAAAAGAAGCACAAAACAGCCCAACGTATTAAGATGCCGGAGATTTTTTTTTTAAAAAAAAAACATTGTGAGAACCATTATGGCGGATCGGAGTTCCCCCCCTGCCCTCTCTCATCCCAGAAGCTTTGGACTCCAAGACCCATAAATCCACTGGCTGGGGATTATGGAAGCTGCCCAGTACATGCAGGGAGCATCAGAGGTCTCCCCATGTAGTTTTAAGGGAAGCCTGTTCTTCCCAATGGCACACCTCCCAGCTCTCTTTCAGCGTGATTAAACCTAGCAAAATGGAAAGGTCACCACCAGGTGTAGACCTCTCGGTCCAAACATCACCGTGCGAGGTCTCCGATCCACAACAACTTTTCAACAACCGCACTGAAGCTCCCTCCTGATTGGAGCCACAAACCAACGTCAGCAGCCAAGAATTTCCAGAGGTGGTTTTTTTTCTTCTTCTTCTTTTTAACCAAATTCCTTATCATTGGAATTCTGCACCTCCAAACTCAGCTCGTTTTTTTTTTTTTCTCTTTGCACAGGCCAGAAAATCAGCAGAAGGCCTGGTCTAGTCACAAGCCAAATTGTTCCTTGGCTCAGCCGGTTCCTCGAAATTACATGTTTACTTTCCAAGTGCCTCTCAAGCGGCGTGTGGTTATGCCAACACATCAACTCCGAACATATTCCTAGCACGTGGCGTGTCCGTTGAGTTAGGATCTCTGCTTTGTTGCTTCGTCAACTGGCCACCCTTGAACGAACTAGAGAGCCAAGCCAAGTAAAATACGCCTCTAATTGCAGGATAATTGGAATGATGAAGTTCACAGAGGGAAACGGGAAGGAGGAGGAATTAAGAATTCCCAGAGAGCCTACCGTTGGCAAGAGGGAGGGACGGGCAAAAGAGAGGGAGTTGGGGGATAATGGGAGTTGTAATCCATGCCCTCCAGAGGGCGGAGATGGGCCCTCTGCGGAAAAGGAGAGAAATTGTCCTGTGAAGAGGCCGAAGAGAAAACGAGGCCCGGATGTTGAAGGAAGAAGAGAAAACAGAGTAAAAAGAGGGAGGAAGGAGAGGGAGAAGGAGAAGGGAGGGAGGGAGGGAGGAGAGGGAGAACGGGAAGGAAGGGAGGGAAGGAAAGAAGGAAAAGGGAAAGGAATAGAGGAAGGAGGAGAAAAGGGAGAAAGAGCAGGAAAGAGAGGGAGAAAGGGAGGGAGGGAGAAAAAAAAGAAGGAAGGAAGGAAGGAAAAGGGAAAGGAAGAGAGGAAGGAAAAGGAGAAAAGGAAGGAAGAAAAAGAAAGAAAGAAAGAAAGAAAGAGAAAGAAAGAAAGAAAGAAAGAAAGAAAGAAAGAAAGAAAGAAAGAAAACAAATAGAAATTTGTTATACAAATTATACAAATTTGGATCCTGATTTTCTGGAACTGCCCAGCGACATCCTAAAATTGCCTGCATCGCTTTAACAGATCCCACAGATGGGGAAAAGCTCATTTCTTCCTTCATATAAAAACCACCCACCATTCTTATTACATTACTGGACTCGGGTATTCCACGAGTTCCTAAAAAAAGAACAAAACAAACTGTTTTGTTTTTGGGGGTTTTTTTTCCCCCTTGTTTTTGGCCAGGGAGAAGCTTTGAAACACAGCAAAGGGAACATCTTTTGATCTTTGCCAGCGGCCCAGGTGGAAGGGGAGAGAGACAGGTGAGCCATACCTTCCCGGACTGGGAATTATACCTGTTTGAAGGACAGGGTCACAGGTGAGATGAGAGGGATGGCAGATCAATTGCTCTGGGGGAGGGGAAAAATCGAATTTATTTGCAGCCTCTGAGCCTTAGGCATGTTCTAAAAATCATAACATAAAACAAGGTGTGGCATCAGTTTTTTTTACGGAGGAAAAAAAATAGCTTTATAATATCCCTCTCTCCTCCCACAATAGAGGCCGCAACCCACACATCCTGATATGGTTTATAGAGGCCTCGGACTACAACTCCCATCGTGCTGGGATGGGGGAGGATAGGAGTTGCAGTCTGTTGCAATCTGCAGGGCAACAGGGTGTGTGTGGTGGGGGGGGAGGAGAACTAATTTTCAGCTATGCTGAAGCCAAATCCCCCAAAAAAGGAAGATTGCGGCTGGGAGGAAAAACAACAAAAGAAATTCCTTGGAAAAGCCACAACAGGGCAAACAACAGCAAAAGACAAACCCCCCCAGCACCCCAAAACCTGAACTCTGCACCCCCAAACTAGCATCTATTAACGCTCAGGGGGAAAGCGGGGAGAGAAATATGTTCCCAATCGGTTTTGCAAATCTCCTAATGGAGACATATATAAACACCCAAAAGCACTGTCCTTAAGCGGGGTGCCCTCTGGATGTCACACGCCGCATTCCCCCATCGTCCCTGGCCCACACAGAGCCCCAGAATCGGGAAGACACCCCCAAAATGGACAGGGAGAGCTTCCAAGGGACCCCAAAGTCTTTCCCCAGCCAGCCTCCCCCGGTGCAAATTAAGAACTTCACGACTCTTGCAAAGGAACCTCCAGATGTCCAACTAGGCCAGACTCCCCCAACTCAGCATCCAAACCCCCCCCAAAAAAGCCAACTCCGGGACGAAGCGGGACCCTTCCCCTTCCAGCAGGCAGCTGTCCAGCTAAGAGGGGGCGTCCCGGTGCTTTGCAAGGAAGGAAACCCCCCCACCCCCAAAAAAACGCACACAGGCTCACCAAATGAAGATGCGCTCCGCGGGGTAATTCAGCCCCCCCCAAAGCCAACTCTGGGATGAGGCGAGGACCCTTCCCCTTCCAGCAGGCAGCTGTCCAGCTAAGAGGGGGCGTCGCCGGTGCTTTGCAAGGAAGGAAACCCCCTTCCCCCCAAAAACGCACACAGGCTCTCCAAATGAAGATGCGCTCCGCGGGGTAATCCAGACCCCCCTAAAGCCAACTCCGGGACGAGGCGAGACCCTTACCCTTCCAGCAGGCAGCTGTCCAGCTAAGAGGGGGCGTTGCAAGGAAGGAAACCCCCCACCCAAAAAAACCGCACACAAGAGCTCACCAAATGAAGATGCGCTCCGCGGGGTAATCCAGGCGATCCAGGGCCCCCAGGTAGTGGGGCAGAGAGTGTTGGGCATTGCGGGCCAGGATGGCGACCACCACGGTGGGCAGCTCTTCTTCTTCCTCCTCCCTGGCCGGGGGTCCCCCTTCCTCCTCCGTGGGGGGAGAGGGGACCCCCAAACCCAGGAGGAGAAGCGCCAAGGCGCAGCGGAGCAGAAGTCCGGGCGGAGGCATCGCGGCGGCCACGAAGGAGGAGGAAGAGGAGGGGGCGTGGGGAGGGGGGCAGAGGAGGGAGCAGAGGCGGGGGGGAGGAGCCAAGGGGAGGGGAGGAGCCAGAAAAAGAGGGGTGGGCTTTGAATCTGTTCCCCGGAATCGAAGCTGCTTCCCCCGCATCGGGGTTCTCCTGCCCATCGCTTTATCCCCTTTATCTTTTCAAAGCCTAGATCTGTGAACGCCAGGTCTACTTAAGACAATACTCTCCTTCCCATCCCAGCCGAGGATGATGGGCCTTGCAGTCGCTGCCCAACTCTCTCTCTCTCTTTTGCCTTTGTTCAGTTTCAGGACCAGGGTCGGCTGGCTCCCGGGAGGAGAATCGGTCCCCCAAAGCGCTAGTCCTCATGAGGTTTTATTTTTTGGGTGGGGGGGGGTTGGATGGGAGGGAAGGGAGCTGTTTCTTATTTCAGACCGTCCCCCTCTCCATCCCAGACTAATTTTGCCAGGGTCAACCCTGCGTCCCTACTCCCACCCCAAAGTGGAAAGGGATGCTGCCACTTTTCCGAAACAAGCAGCAGAGTTTGACGAGACCCCAGCGGCCGAGCTACACGTTACACTCAAACATGACACTGAGATACAGCTAGATTACAGGAAGGAGATTCGTCTCAATGTCCACTACAAAGGATAAACTGGGAAAATGCTGCCATCTGTTGGGTAGAAAAATATCCTTTTAATCTGATAGTTTAATTCCGCCTTTTGAATGGAACTCTGTTTGGTGGGGGGGAAGAAAGTGGCAGATTTCCATTTCCTGCCATTTGTCAGAAATGGTGTAAGGTCTCCTGCTTGGGTGGGGGGGGGGTTGGACTAGATGACCCACAAGGTCCCTTTCCGACTCTGTTAATCTGTTAAGGATTTTTTTACAAAGCGTTCGTGAAAATGGCTTTAAAAAAAAAAAAAGAGCCTTGGTACTACAGTGGTTTAATGCACCCTGTTATTAACACAGCTGCCTGCAATTTACTGCTGGTTCGAATCTCTCCAAGGCTCAAGGTTGACTCAGCCTTCCATCCTTTCTAAGGTAGGTTAAATGAGGACCCAGTTTGTGGGGGCAATAAGCTGACTTTGTATAAATATACAAAAGGATGAAGGCTATTGCTTAACGCACTGTAAGCCGCCCTGAGTCTCCGGAGAAGGGCGGCATATAAATCAAATTTAAAAAAAAAAAAAAAAATGGATCCGTTTGCACGTTGCATGTTGTCTATGCATCCTTCGCCACTCCACCAACACACCCTCAAGGCAACGGGCGCAGGGAACGCGTAACTACAACCAAACCGTCATCTGGATGTTTTGAGATGCTCAGAAAAAAAAAAGCTTTCTTGGTGGTGACATCTTCTCTCTCTCCTCTCAGTCTGACTTTAGAGAATAAATGGCCTCAGAGAACATACCAGAAAAAAACAGAATAAGAGTTGGAAGGGACCTTGGAGGTCTTCTAGTCCAATCCACTACTCAAGCACCATTCTGGACAAAGGGTTATCTAATCTCTTCTGAAAAACTTCCAGTGTTGGAGCATTCACAACTTCTGCAAGCAAGTCGTTCCACTGATTAATTGTTCCCACTGTCAGGAAATTTCTCCTGAGTTCTAGGTTGTTTCTCTCCTTGATTAGTTTCCATCCGTTGCTTCTTGTCCTACCCTCAGGGGCTTTGGAGAATAGCTTGACTCCCTCTTCTTTGTGTTGTTGTTGTTAGTTGCGAAGTCGTGTCCAACCCATCGCAATCCCATGGACCCAATCCAGGCCTTCCTGTCCTCTACCATCCTCTGGAGTCCATTTAAGCTCACGCCGACTGCTTCAGTGACTCCATCCAGCCACCTCATTCTCTGCCATCCCCTTCTTCTTTTGCCCTCCATCGTTCCCAGCATTTGGCTCTTCTCCAGGGAGTCCTTCCTTCCATCTCATTAGGTGGCCAAAATATTTGAGTTTCCTCTTCAGGATCTGGCCTTCTAAAGAGCAGTCAGGGTTGATCTCCTCTAGAACTGACCAGTTGGATGGCCTTGCAGTCCAAGGGACTCACAGGAGTCCCTTGGATCCACCTATCTATCTATCTATCTATCTATCTATCTATCTATCTATCTATCAATCTATCATCTATCTATTGTTGTTGTCAGTTGCAAAGTTGTGTCCATCCCATCACAACCCCATGGACAACGTTTCTCCAGGCCTTCCTGTCCTCTACCATCCCCTGGAGACCATTTAAGCTCATGGCCGACTTCTTCAGTGACTCCATCCAGCCACCTCGTTCTCTGCCGTCCCCTTCTTCTTTTGCCCTCCATCGTTCCCAGCATTAGGCTCTTCTCCAGGGAGTCCTTCCTTCTCATTAGATGGCCAAAGTATTTGAGTTTCCTCTTCAGGATCTGGCCTTCTAAAGAGCAGTCAGGGTTGATCTCCTCTAGGACTGACCGGTTGGATCGCCTTGCAGTCCAAGGGACTTGCGGGAGTCTTCTCCAGCACCAGAGTTCAAAGGCCTCCATTCTTTGGTGCTCAGCCTTCCTTATGGTCCAACTTTCACAGCCATTGCTCTAAAAGCAAATCTTGACTCCAACCAAGATTTTACCGCTTTAAAATTCTCTGTCCCTCCCTCTCCATCCCGGTTTCCTAAACTGTGATTTATAAGACCCAGTGGCTGAGCTACATGTTACACTCAGCCCAAACAGGGCACTGAGCTACAGATTACAGGAAGGAGATTCGTCTCAATTTCCACTGAAAGGATAAACTATGAAGTTTATCTATTGGGTAGAAAAATATTCTTTTAATCTGATTTTTCTGCATCTCTTCCAAAGCTGTACAGACAGAGCTCTCTCGCCTCATTTAGTGACTGTTTGAAGTGATCATGGCACTAAATAAAACCAATTTTGTGATCAATTCTCCAGGATGAGTGGCAATATTAGATCTGGCTGTGTCTTAGGCACCATAAAATCCTAGGTTGATTGTCCATTTACCCCCACCCCACCCCACCCCCAGGCATCTTTCTTTAAAATTTTAGTTTCCCTTAAAAGTTGTGATCTAATGGCAGAAAGTGAAGAGGAACTGAAGAGCCTCTTGACGCGGGTGAAGAAGGAGAGTGCAAAAGTTGGCTTAAAACTCAACATTAAGAAAACCAAGATCATGGCATCTGGCGCTCTCAAGTGCTGGCAAATAGATGGGGAAGAAATGGAGGCAGTGACAGATTTTATCTTCCTGGGCTCCAAGATCAACGCAGATGGGGACTGCAGCCAAGAAATGAAAAGACGCTTGCTCCTGGGGAGGAAAGCCATGGCAAATCTAGACAGCATACTAAAAAGCAGAGACATCACCCTGCCCACAAAAGTGTGTATAGTCCAGGCGATGGTTTTCCCAGTTGCAATGTCTGGCTGGGAAAGTTGGACCATAAGGAAGGCTGAGCGCCAAAGAATGGAGGCCTTTGAACGATGGTGCTGGAGAAGACTCCTGTGAGTCCCTTGGACTGCAAGGCCATCCAACCGGTCAGTCCTAGAGGAGATCAACCCTAACTGCTCTTTAGAAGGCCAGATCCTGAAGAGGAAACTCAAATCCTTTGGCCACCTAATGAGAAGGAAAGACTCACTGGAGAAGAGCCTCATGCTGGGAATGATGGAGGGCAAAAGAAGAAGGGGACAGCAGAGAACGAGGTGGCTGGATGGAGTCACTGAAGCAGTCGGTGTGATCTTAAATGGACTCCAGAGGATGGTAGAGGACAGGAAGGCCTGGAGGAACGTTGTCCATGGGGTCACGATGGGTTGGACACAACTTCGCAACTAACAACAACAACAGTTGTGGCTCCATCCCTATGAGAGAATCTCTTGGTCTCTATGGAGCCATCACATCTAAGTCCCTATCCATGGTCCTTCCCAATCCAACTGTTTCACGTAAACCTTCGGAAACGAATCTCAAACTTCAGATTTAAAGATGGACAGCTGTTCCTTCACATATACAGGTCCCAACTGGATATCTTCAGCTGGTATTTACCCTTTAGAAGAAATAATAACACAAGGAAGTCGTGGGAAGCTCAGGGAGGTTTGGCCCCATTCTCTTGAGACTACAAACATAGGACTGAGAAAATGTATTAACAGATTAAGAGAGTTGGAAGGGACCTTGTAGGTCATCTAGTCCAACCCCCCACTCAAGCAGGAGACCCTACACCATTTCTGACAAATGGCAGTCCAGTCTCTTCTTGAAAGCTTCCAGGGATGAAGCTCCCACAACTTCTGAAGGCAACTTCTGTCCCATGGGTTGATTGATCTCACTGTCTTATTTCCAGGTTGAATCTCTCCTTGATCAGTTTCCATCCATTATTCCTTGTCTGGCCTTCAGGTGCTTTGGAGAATAGCTTGATCCCCCCTTCTCTTTGTGGCAGCCCCTCAAATATTGGAAGCCTGCTATCCTGTCTCCCCTGGTCCTTCTCGTCACTATTATTTCACACAAGAAAAATGTCTTTATGGTTCCTGCGTTATTATTCTTTTAACACTGCCTTCTAAATAAATTCATCTAGAAAAGCACAGTAGCCTTTTCACAACTTTGCCTGTTGGTTTTTAAGAAGGGATTATTGGGGCTCCATTTGTCTGAAATGATACGAGTCTCCAGGCTGAGCAGGGGGTTGGACTAGAAGACCTCCAAGGTCCCTCCCAGCTCTGTTATTCCATTCCATTATGATGGGTAATAATTCTTCTGAACCAGACTTTCTTTTCGGGAAGAGAAAGAAGGAACAAGGGGGGAGAATACAAAGTCAAATATTCTAATTTAAGGTTTGTCCTTTTCCAGATCTGCTGTGGTTTCAACCTTTGCCCCTTCCATCTTGGTTTTCCCCCAAACTGGATTACTGGCCATTAAATATGGCTCTTGCAGCTATGCACGTTCCTGAGAAAGTTATTTAACTACATTGCTGCTCCAGAAATAGAGAAAAAAACAGAAAGAAAGACAGAAAAAGAGAAAGAGAAAGAGAAAGAGAAAGAGAAAGAGAAAGAATGAGCCTCGGTGGTGCAGTGGACTAA